TTTCCTTCGGTCTCCAAATCCCGCAGAACTCTCTTCCTGTCTGAAAGGTTGAGCTGTCTTCCCCTATGGCAGGGGGCCTTCAAACGTGGCCCTTTTAGGACTGGTGGACTTCAACTCCCAGAATTCCTCAGCCAGCTTGCCCTGCCCTACGGTGTGGGTTTTGTACATCATTATTAAATGGAAGACTTGTTGCTGCCCACTAGCCAAATTCTAATATTATGGGGTTGGGGGGTGGGGTGGGGTGTAAACAGAAGTTCTGCCATCTTCTCTCCCCTTCAAAATGGCCCCCATTTCATTCGAAGCCCGTAGTCGCAGCCACGAGGACTAGAAACATGACCTGAAAATCCTTGTGACCCATTGCTTACATACACGTGTTTATTTCAGCCTGCTAGTTTGTGCAGTGTTTTTATGTTTGCTTGCTTGGCACAGGACTTGGCTGTCCGCTCAGAAATTCTGGCCGAGTGCCAGTTCCGGTCATTCTGGTCGGAGAGCCTTGGCCGGCTTTTCCAGCTGTTTCCTAGAATAGATCCGCAAAGAAGCAAGAGACCCTCAAAAGCCTATTTTTTCCCAGATCCAGTTGGGCTAGAGCGAAAACCCTAGCAAAAGACTGCCCAGCTTTTCCAGGCTAATAATCCCTCGCAGCAAAACCAGCCACCAAGTTAATATTTTGCCTATAAATTGGATTCTTCCAACGCCCCAACGCTTTTTTGGCGTGTCGTGCAAGGCAGAAAAACCGAGTTAACAAAACAGTCCACATCACCGGACGGTGCCGAAAGAAAGCAATCATGTTAGAGTTTCAAAGGAGGGCCTCATTCATCCACAGTGTTTTCACAAGGCTGGGCTCGTACAACACAACACAACCCGGTTTTTGTTTTTTTTTACTTTGTCTAGACTCTAGCCTGTTGTGATAACCTCACCTCGATGTAAAGAAAACCTGCCGCTAATACTGAAGTTGGGGGGAGCATGCAGATGAAAATGCAATTCTAGCTGTAAAGTAAAAAGTGGGGGCTGGATTATCACAAAGCCCCCCCCCCCTATCCACAGAGAGAGCCTGTTTGGTATAATGATTAAGGCACCAGGCTAAAAAGAGGGAGACAGTGAGTTCAAGTCCTGCCTTAGCCTTAGCTGGGTGACTTTGGGCCAATCACCAGGAGACTGGGAGTTCTAGTCCCGCTTTAGGCATGAAAACAAGCTGGGTGCCTTTGGGCCAATCACCAGGAGATTGGGAGTTCTAGTCCCGCCTTAGCATGAAAGCCAGCTGGGTGACTTTGGGCCAATCACCAGGAGATTGGGAGTTCTAGTCCCGCCTTAGCATGAAAGCCAGCTGGGTGACTTTGGGCCAATCACCAGGGGACTGTGAGTTCTAGTCCCGCCTTAGGCATGAAAACCAGCTGGGTGGGCCAATCACCAGGAGACTGGGAGTTCTAGTCCGACCTTAAGCATGAAAGCCAGCTGGGTGACGCTGGGCCAAGCACTCTCTCTCAGCCCAACCCACCTCAAAGGGTTGTTGTGTGGAAAACAAGAGGAGGAAGGTGTGTCCGATATGTTTGCTGCCTGGAGTGAGTTGTCAAAAATAATAAAGGCGGGATGCAAATTAATTAATTAAAAAATCCTAGGAAAGCCTCTCTCGCATCCTGAGTTTTGAAGAGTGTGTGGATTTTTTTCGGAGGAGGAGGAGAAGGAGGAGGATCTCCTGCTGCTTCTCATCAAAAAGAGAGCCATGCAATATGCAGGTTGGACGGAGACTGCAGAAATGGGAATACTCTTGAGCATTTTTGAATGCTCGAAAAAAGATGCGTGCCTGGCATGAAAGGCGGAAAAGCTTACCAGCGGTAGCCTGGTCTGCCACATTCCACCCTCCTGCCTCACAAAGCTTTCATTTTGGCATGTTTCTAGTCCTTAGGGTGCTGCTGCCAAATGTTCTCTCAAACTTCAGATCCGATTCAACCATTCTGTTTCCCTGCCAGGCTATCAAAATTTGATCAGTTTTTTTTTTAAAGAAAAAAAAAACAAACAAACCAAACTTTGTAAAACGCCCAACTCCCTTTTCGAGCTTACAAAACACCATTGTTAAATATCCAGGTTTTGAAAGAGGTCTCGGTCTTGTTTTGGCATAGCGGATGGAAAAATAGAATAACAACGGCAAGGAAGCCGTCTCCATTTTTTTAAAACTCAAAGGTAAAAGCAACAACTTCTAGTGCCACGTGCAAACTTTAGCTGGCTGAGGACAGAAGCCTTTGTGTTAGGTCACCATCTAATTTCAGGCTGAATTGGGAGTGCCTGCCAAAGTCAACTTCCCATTTCATTTTATGTGCCATCAAGTCATTGTCCACTCTTAGCAACCACCTAGATAAGACCATCTGTCCCTAATCTGGTTTTTCAGGTCTTCCAAAGGTGCACCTATGCTAAGTCAACATCTCTTTAAAATCCCCAACCTTTTGGCTGCAATTTTGGTGGCAAAGATTCAGGGGGTTAAATGAAACATAAAGGCTAAAAGACTAAGACACTGAACTAAAAATACAGTGCAGGTTTGATCAACTGTTAGAGCAACCCTGAATGTGGTTTCTTAATCCAGTGGGTCAAATTTTATATTCTTCTTTTCTTATATACAATTCCTTTGCTTTGAATAAGCTGAATAGGGGAGCAGTTGTGGTGCAGTTATCATTATCCTCCTCATCGTTAGATTAGCATTTTGCTTTTTTATTTTCCAGCAAAATTCTGATCCTTAATCGCTATGTGGCAGGCAGGAATAATAATTCTTCATTATTCATTAGGTGACTGTATTTACTGAATTTGATGGATGGAGATTTCAGGCAATCCATTTTCTGAAGTGAACTGGACTCGTATTTTTTTTTAAAAAGAAATATAACTGTGTGAATGTATGGGCTGTATTTTGTTTGTTATTCCCTGCACTTCTCTTTTCAACTCGGTTGCAGTCGTTTATGAACATAGATCCCGTCTTGAACGTTCCTTGCAGAAAGAACGCAGCGAACACAAGAAAACAAAAGAAGGTGGGTTTTCCATCTCAGATCATGATCAGTTCTTTTGATCATGATCAGTTCCAGTGTGATTGAATTCTTGACATTTAATCAGACAGAGGCAGGTCCCATGGGGCACAAAGCAGAAATGAATAGTGAAATCTTGCAGGACAGAATCGCCCATGTCACAAAATATCTTCCGTGCCTCTTTAGCACAATGATGGCTAGGTTTGTCTGGCCCTGAAGAATTCATACGATAATCTAGGGCGGGGGTGTCCAACCTTGGCAACTTTGAGTCTTGTGGACTTCAACTCCCAGAATTCCCCAGCCAGTTGAAATCCAAATATTGCCAAGGTTGGACACTCCTGGATTTAGGGTCAGGGTTATCTAAAAAGCTGATGGCAGAAGGGATAGGTTCAAATCCTAGAATTCCAGATGAGTCACCAATTACAGGGTCCAACAAAGGTCTCCAACAGCTCAATGGGGTTCAGGTCAGGACCCAGAAAAGTAGGTCTCAGTCATGGAAATTGTTGCAGCATCGAATTGCTTTTTCATGCTACAAAATCCAAGCCCCCACCTGAGCAGATCTGATATTGGTCAGTTCTGTTTCCAGGTGCTGAACTACAAAGGAGCAAAAGCAGAGGCTGGAGAATAGAGTGTAAAGGTGTTAAAACAACTGGAAGAAAGCATTTCTCTTGGGCTGCCAGGATAATTACTCAGATAATATCCAGGTGGTTACCAGGAACTGTGTATGTCTTGAGGGAACCTTACCTTAAAAATAGAAGAAGAAGAAAAAAGAAATCAAGCAGACATATGCAGTCCAGATTACTAGCCCTTTCACTGGAAGTTGTGATTGTAAAATAATCGTACAGATAAAGAAAAAGCAATCGGTCATTTTTAGACCACGGAAGAACTGACTAAGAATTGGTGTTTTTCCCAGCTTCCTTTAGTAACCGTCATGGTTTAGAAATTATAAAATCCTTTCCTGTTAGTTGCAAGATCCTAAAGAACCTAGTCATTTATTAAAACGATGAATCCTCCAGGACAAAATGCAAGGGCAAAATTACTTGTGTCTCAAAGAACGTTGCTTTGGAGGATGCACCCCTCCTATAAACGGCTGTTGGGTTTTTAATGCTGCAATGGTACTGAACCAACGATGCTACCCTAAAAAGGCATATATGGGTATCTAGTGGATGTAAATATTTGTCTTTAAGTCGTCATAATATGAAATTTATGGAAATGTATACATGCTAATCTTCCATTAAGATTCATCCACTGGGTTCTCCAGTTCCTTACTTGATACTCCCAAGAAAGCAGTGCATTCCAGTAATCGTTCATAAATAGATATTATTAGCTTAGACTAAAATTTTACTTGCTTGTCCAGGAATTATTTTGTTTAAACAGTGGGGACATTCCATCTTATTAACTTCATAAACTTCTCGGCAAGGTAAACCAAATTTCAGTAAAGCTGCATCTGACTGATTTCTCCATTCTTTCCTTACTTTTATTTTATTTTTTGTTCCGCTTTGCCTTGTAGATTTTTTAGTATACAAACTGGAGGCTCAGGAAGCACTCAATAAAGAAAAGGTAGGTAAAACTGGATCCCTTTGGAGGGCACAGGTGTGTTTAAGGAAGGGAAGGAGAAAGTTTTAGAGGACTGGTCTAGATCCGAGGCATGCTGGATTCCAAAGAATATTTTCTCTCCTTTTGCTAACCCATCCTTACTTGAGTTCTCGGGAAGGGAAACTGGGAAATTCAGTGTGCAAAACCAAGTTATCCAGCCACTGTCATCTTTTCATCTTTGTGGCCGGATTTAAAGTTGTCCTTAATAAAGAGAGAGTGTTCACACAATACGTAGACCGAGAAGTTGCATTTTTAATGTGCTAAGTTTTGATCTTCTTGAATCTGCAAGGGAATCTTGGTAAGTTAGAAGATTCTCGTCTTATCTGCTCAGAGGGTGGTTCGATGCACTGTGTGATTTTGGGAGGGGGTTAATTCAAGACTAGATGCAACATTCAGTGAAGGCCATTAAGCGATGCAAACCCAGCTGGAGAGTTGAGGAGGGGGTTCGTGCAGGTTTAAGAGACAATAGTGAATTATTTGCACAGTTAGTTGCAATCATTATTGTTGTGATTTTCTCACTGCAGCAAGATTCTATGAACAGATATGGTGCCTTAAGTTCACAGCACAAGATACTGAAGGTAAGAATAAATTAGGTTAGTCTGGGTAGACTCTGGCTCTCTACACATGCACTGGAGAGCACTTGTCTCTATTCGGGGCAATGTAATCCAGCATCTTGTTTTTCAACAGCATTCAGGTTACCCACAATTCAAACCTGAGATAAGCCAGGTTTCTTCAAACTCTTTATTAATCAGAGGTTTGCTGCCCTGCCTTGGATAAGAACAGGAGTCTGTCGAACCGAGCCTCCTGTTTCCAACACTGGACAGCTCAACCACTTTGGGAACAAGGGGATTTTAAAACCACAGGGTCTGACTAATGTTGGCAACCCTAATTATCCTTTGCTAATTGCCACAGACCACAGGGGGGGTTGCAGAAACAATGAGGAACACTGCAAGCAAGAAGAGCCAGAATGGCAAATATTCCTACCTCATTCAATTTAGCACACACACACACACACACACACACACGCAATCCCTGCGCACCAACACGCTGGAGGATCCATGGATGGAAACGGGCCAGGCCACTAAGACCCCATAAATCTCCCCCCTCCTGCTGTTCAAGTAAAAGCAGCAATTATTTTGCTTGTAAACTTGGCCATGTTAAGTAGCACTGCGCCATTGCGTCATGCCATCGGGGTATCGATTATGTGTCAGCGTTGCTTGATGGAGCAGTGGCTGCAGCCCTGCGTGCGTTTCCCCAAGACTCACTCAGGGAGGAGAGACTTCAACGAATCTCCTGGATCAGCGTGTTCGGCTTAAATTAGAAACCGGCCCCTGAGCCCGTTGCAAAATGGGCTCAGTTGGATAAGTACACGTTAAGATGTAAGAAAGACGAAACGTGCCCCGGTTCCGTGAGAATCCAAACCCAGCAAGTCCTTTTGCAGGAAGAATTGCAATCCTATTTATATTTATTTTTTTCTCCCCAACTGGATTTTATTCCTTTCAGATGCCAAGTTTAGGGAGGAAATCCTCTTTGGCTGCTACGGTACTTAAATACAGGTGGTCCTCAACTTGCAACCACAGTTGAGCCCAAAAGTTCTGTTGCTAAGTGAGGCATTTGTTAAGTGGGGTTTCGCCCCATTTTATGACCTTCCGCAGTAGTTAAGGGATTGATGGCAGTTGTTAAGTTAATAACATAACCTTCCCCATTGACTTTGCTGGTCAGATTGTCGCAAAAGATGATCACATGACCCTGGGACACTGCAACAGTCATAAATAGGAGTCAGTTGCCAAGTGTCCGAATTTTAACCACGTGACCATGGGGATGCTGCAACGGTCATAAGGGTAAAAAACAGTCCTAGGTCACTTTTTTCAGTGCCGTCGTAACTTTGAATGGTCGCTAAACAAACGATTGTAAGTCGAGGACTGCTTGTAGCTTGGACTCTGCCTTTCATCTAAACCTGCCCAGTTGGTTTTAGGATGAACAGATTAAAAATATGCAGTATAAATTGTGAAATTTGGGAAGGCAGAAATGAGACACTGCCTTCTTTCTAGGGTTTGCTCCCATGTGTTGGTCTGCTTCTCCCCAGAACCAGCACGAAGAAGTCAAGAAGCAGTTTTTGGATCTGCAGCTGCAACACAACGGGCTGAAACTGGAGCATCGCAAGGTGGTGGAGACTCACAGCCAGAAATATTCCCAGTTGCAGCGGGAGAAGGAGAACGAGGTGGTGGGATTACAAGGTGGGCAAGCCAGAGAGGGCTCCCCCGGCTCCGAACTGAGCCCAGGGTTGCAAGGGGGGGTATGTGCCTCTCTTAAAGACGGCATCTGAACCCCTCTAGCAGGAAGAGGGGGGGGGTGAAAGAAGGGAGAATGCCTTTTAACCAAATTGAATTGAATTTCTAGATACTATTTTTAAACTAAGGGAAGAAAGCAAACTACTTCGCAAAGCCCACCAGGATGTTCACTCGCAGCTCCTCAATGCTCAGGTAACTCCGTGCTCCGTTCTCCGCGAAAGCCCTTGGCCCTGTCTGGAGGTGCTGAACCTCAGCTCCCGTGGTCCACCACTAGCGTAGCCAAAGCTAGAAAGAGGGGTCTCCCTTAACTCTCGCCAAGATAGCAGATGGGCAACGTGGGACACTCCAAAGGAAAGGCCGCTTTAAGGGATTTAACCTGGGGAACTCACTGCCACCGGATAGGAAGACCATTCTGGTAGACGGCTTCTGAAAGCGATTAGAGAAATTTGGGGAGGAAAGGCAGATCAAAGGCAACTTGGGGGGCTGGATAACTGCTGTGGGGGGAACGGTACGAAGAAAAACCGATCCGTCTCAGCAGCCTTATTCCCTAGAGGGACTCGGGGAATCCATGGCGTGATCTAATAGGTCTCTCCTTAAGCAAGATCTAAAACTTTGGGAATTATTGTGGACAGCCTCTTCTTTGCTCTCCCCTCCAGGTCCAGATGGAAGAGTTCCGGAAACTCAAGGAAACCCTTCAGAAGATGCCAAGTTTTAAGGATGCAGGAGCAGCCAAAGAGCAGCAGATGCCACATCCTTATGGCCAGCCTCGGGGGTCGAGCGTGTTGCAGTTTGCTAGACCCAAGGTACAACATTCCAGCTTTAAGTTCCCTTCCAAAGGTTTGACCACTTGCTGGGAAATGCCAGGGGAAATGCCAGGGGAAATGCCAGGCTGGTCCCGGGTTCCTTTCTTCTAGAAGCAGCCACAGCTTGTTCTCTTTAAGCCTGGGATTTTTTGAATAAGCAAAGAATTAGGCTAAAACAACACCCACTTCTGTTCCTCCACTGCCCACCCACCAAACTGCTTGGGAGGCAGTTTGTCTGTAGCAAAGTGCTGCTGACCTGGTGATCAAACCGGCTTGGAAAACAAAATCAATCATGTAAGAAAACAATTCAGCCTCAAAAAGGTTAAAATTCCACGCTGGCCGCTGGCTAATTCTGGGAACAGCAGTCTCAATAAAGCTGGGGCCAGTAGCCCCCAGATGTTTGCCGGAGTTGAAATCAGCTGGGAGCCAGAAATGCCTTCTCTCCAGTTTTGGCCTGCTTCATTTCAGAAGGTGAAGAAGGTGCAAGGCTGACCTTGGAGAAAGGAGTGACAAAAATCCATTTCTTCCAGATGTATTTTCTCTCCCCTAACATCATCCCCTTTCCTGGCACTCTGTAGGATACATTGCGGTGGCCTGTAATGTTCTCATTTCATTGCCATTTTTTTCCACTATGTACATCTGGGGGAGGATTTGTAAGTTGCATTGGAAGACAGGAGACGTGTCACTGTAATAAATAAACAGGAGATGATGGGCAGGTTATTTAGCGAACCTGAGCTGCTCATAGATTTGGCAGAGATGTCACGGTGAGTTACGAGGCTTAGAGTTGTGCTAGACAAGGGGCCAGAGGCCAGAGCAATTCCTTAAGGGCCAATCTGGTGTGGTTCCAACATCTCGTCCCAGTGAGTAGCCCAGTCCATCAATGCCAGCCCGTGTTTCAGAAGACATCTTTCTCCAAATCTGAATTGTTTATGGAGCCAAAACATGATCAGCAGGACTGGGGAAACCCAAAGGTTTAGAACAGGAGCAACGATGAAAAGAGGACACCGAAAATCAGTAGAAGAGCTCAAAAAAGAATTGGATTTGATTCACTGGCACTGGAAAAGGAGAACGGGATGGCGTTTTATGGAGGAGGCGTTTGCAGTCTTTGCGGGAACCTTCAGCCGAGACACTCTATCACGCCAACACTTGGTTGCTCTGTTTTTGTTCCTGGACAGTCTTTCTCAAGTCTACTTTATGCTCCCCTTTCTAGGCTTCCAAGGGCGATGGCATTAAAGCACCTTTGGGACCTCAGGACCAAAGTGTGGTTCCAGGTGGGAACTCCTTTGCCATTCCACCCCCTGGGATCAAACGTCAAGAAGAGAACCTGGTGCATGAAAACCGTGTTTCACATAACAATGGAGCCAGACCCCAAGGGGACATGCTGTTTGGTCAACTGGCCCCACCTAAGGAAGTTAATTTGCCTTTTGCAGCTCAGCCACCAGCCCAGCATAAAGATGCACCCATGGTTCGTTACACCCGGATGATGAATAGTGTGCAGAACCAGGTGAGAATATTCATATGCTTTTGGTCCAAGCATAAACTAGGTTAAATAAACTTGGACAGACAGAATCACAGAAGTCAAGTTGAGTGGACTAATAAAGTCAAGTAAGAAGTCATCAGCACCATGGACAGCTTCCAGTAGGTGCTGCTAAGATAGCACCCTTCTACACCGCACTTCCCTACAAGCCATGGAGACTTAGAAATTGAGGACATGACGTTGTTGAGATAGGATTTATGCCTCCATCAAGCTTTTCATATGAATATTGGCCTCCTTGCTACCCTTCCAAGGTGTCTGGTTGAATAAAAACATAGTTATTGATTTCTTAAGCGAAGATAACATCTCTTTTGAGTTGAGCTCAATGGGTTGACTCTTTGGGGCCGCATATGGAAGTGGTTTGATGAGGACTCCTTTGATAGAGCCTCCAACTCTAGAGTTTCCTCAGGGTCTCCTATCCAGATCTGGCGCTCTGTAGCTTCGAAATGCATTTAAATGGGTTTGATTAAATCAAAGTAATAGGCTCAATAGGCATGGCTTTGCATGTCATACAAATAATGCAGAAAAATCTTTTAAAATCATTTCAGGATCCAGAAGCAGGGCAGAACATGCAGGGGCAACATCCAGCCGCTTTGGAGGAAAGTCGGGTTTCAGAAGAAAAACTCTCCAACAAGCAGAAGCAACAGGTGCAGAGGTATTTGCTCTTTCTGAATTGAAAGGCCCGGTCTGGCTAAGGAACAACAGGGTGTTGTTTGCTATGAAACAAACAGCAGTGTCCCAGGGTCGTGTGATCACCTTTTGTGACCTTCTGACAACCAAAGTCAATAGGGAAGACAGATCCACTTAGCAACCAGGCTACTAACTTAATGTCTGCCATCATTCACTTAACAACTGTGGCATGAAAGGTCATAAAATGGGGCAAAACTCACTTAACAAATGTCTTTCTTAGCAACAGAAATGTTGGGCTCAATTGTGGTTGTAAATCAAGGACTACCTATACACTAAGTTACCAACAAGCAATCTGCATTAGGGGTTAGTATACTATGTGCCCTCAATGTTAACACTGGGCAAGGGCAGACAAACAGTTTGACTCAAGCATCAAATGTTTGAAGCGTTGCTGTGTAAAAACTATGGCAATAACTATTTTCCCAGACTACTCCCCTTCTTCAGATCAGCCGCAAGCTTGTTATCTCTCCAGCTCTGCCTTCTTTTCACTTAAAAGAGTTCTTCCCTTGAGCCACTGCCCAGATGCAATGCAATGTTCATGAAAGCTTGAACTGTACGTGATATTAAAAATAGACCAGCATAAAAGACAGAGGAGCTGAGAGTGAAATGAGTTTTGTTTTTTACAAAAATTAAAATGACGTCTGCGTTTTGATCTGGGATTTGGGTTCACGGAGGGATTGGACCCTCTTATTTTAACAAAAATTTGTTTCCTCCTTTCCCAACAAATCTTTTATTTTCCCCCCCCCCCGGGATGTTTTAGGGTATTCGGGGTGAATGTCTTCTTGCTCCGTTAGGCATTAAGTGGAGACATTCAAGGATGTCCTTGATGAGAAAAGCATAGTGGAAGGAGAGGCAGGGAAAAATATTATGGGGTTGGCAGACAACCACTAGGCTGTGCAGGAACGCCGGTGTGTGCCTCTTGACTCCAGTTGAGAAAAGCGGCAATGCACCGCACACTGCTGGCCTTACGTCACTTGACCCCAAGATTAGTTCAAATGTTCCTCATTAAGCGGCATTAAGCAGCACTTCCAAATTGCCATATCCTTCTGCTGGCCTCTAATTAAACAGTCACCCATCAGGCTTCGTGGAAGAAATGCAAGGAGCGATGGGACCCCCACTTCCATCCGTTAATCCGAGATTGTGACCATCGGGAAGCAAATGCAGGAAAAAAGCTAACAAGGCTAATAACACGCATTTCAAACATTCCTGGCCTAAATGCAGGCGACGGAAATAAAAATTTGGGCCTCAAGGTTGTGATGATCTCCTAGCCAGGAAGGCCACCTTTTGGCCTTCCATCCATTTGACTTATTTTTGTTAAAACAAAGACATTTCTAGCTCTTGTGGCACGTCCAAGAAGGAAACACAAAATTGTTTGATTTTGATGCACAACAACAACAAAATCTGAAAATTGGAGATTCTCTCCTGCAGTCCTATGCTCAGTTCTCCCTGGCTGCATTCACATAACTCCTTTAACCAAGTCATAGGGGGGGAAAAAACCCCTAGCAATTGGTATATGCACAGTTACGCTAAATCTGGTGTTTATCTTGGTTTGCTTGGGAAGGGTTTGAATCGGCCCTTTCGGTCAGTTGATGTTTACAAGGAATCAGAAACTCTTGAGTGAGTCCAGAAAATGGGCTCATTCAAAACCCAACCCTTGTGTGAAAACAGTGTGTGCTTCTGTGCTCAGAGTTGACAAAGCCTTTTGTCTGTACCCCAAGAGAGCGCTAAGGGACCACTTTTGATATAAGAAACATGGCATTATCCAAAATGTATGGGAAAACAGTGCTTGTAACGGTCGCTTTCCTCCGCAGAGTCAACAAAGGCAACTTGCAGATGAATGATGGGAGAGCTCTTTCTTACCCACAAAGCTATCGACTGGATACCACCGTATCTGAGCAAGGCAGGACAGATGTCAGTCAAGCGCAGACAAGGACAAGGGGGGCACGGCACACCATGTGGGGAGCTGAGAAAGGAGGAGCAGATGACAGGGACCTGCACGCCGGTAAGACTGAAGAGGATGGATTGAAAATGTGGCGAGGTCGGTCCCATTGCCAGAGACGAAGCCGGGGAGAATTGTGTAGAGTTTCTTCAAGATACAACAGGGTCTGAGTTATGAGGATAAGGTTGGGGATCCTGTTATGTATTGCCTTAGATGGACAGGTAGTGAGTGGGACAGCCAAGGTAGATCTTATCCAGCTTCTAAAGGTCCTTCTCCACCTTTTCAAGGTGAGCCAAGGTGGACTTGAACAAGTTTCCAAAGATACCAGAAGTTGGGCTGACTTTAAGGCTTCTTTTGTTATATTTATATCTCACTTTTCCTCAAAGTGGGTGCTTGGATCCGTCTTCAGCTGAGTCTTCACTTCATAGCGAGGGTCAACCCATAGGCACCCAGGACAGGGGACTTGACCTTACTTAGATATCCTCATTCTTATTCCAACAATTTAGCCTTGATGATCTCCAGAAGCATGGTCTTTAACTCCCAGAATTCTCAGCCTTGGTCATGCTGGTTGGAGAATTCTGGGAGCAGAAGTCCTTGTATGTGGCAACTTCTCAGCTTGGGAAAAAAAAACTGCTGTGAGGACACAGCACACTATCTTTTAAAATACATCCTCCACTTTCCAATCTAAAATAATTTGGGATTTCGAGTTGTTGTCTTTCCCCGGTCCTAAACGAACTTTTCAACTGTGGCTCCATTCTTCTGTGTGGAAGCCATAGCAACCTTCAAGGCAGAGGCACAGGGGACAGATGCACTGCTGGTCCAGAAAGTGGAAAGAGCCAAAAGAGAGTTATAAAAGCCGCTCAACACCTATAGAGAACATTGACCTGGCAGAAAATGGAACGGTGAGAAAGCAAATCTCCTCTGGAATGTGACCGGCCTCAGGCAGGTGGTTCTAGTTTTGCAATGTAAGCTGTCTGCAAGGAATATAAATCCTTCCATTCCCCACCATCCAAGTCAGAGTTGAAGAAGCTTCTTGGATGAGAAGTGAAACGTCTTCAAAGAAAAAACAAGAAAGTCCAGTTGCTTCTTGGAAAAAGCACCTTTGGGACATCATGGTTAGTAGCCACTAAAGCATGGTTAATTCCAGGCACGTCTGTGCTTTTCTGTGTAAGCTGTGGTCACTAGAGAGCCAGCCACTCCAATGTCAACACTAGAAAGTGTCTGCAGAATATCAACACACCCTCAGATACATCAACTGGAAATTGGACGGTAGGAACAGTAGAAAAAAGACATTAAGAAACTGGTAGGATGGCTTGGCCAGGAAATTTGGAAGTAGGCAAAGTCTTATTAAGTTTTTTTCAATCTTTTAATCCTCCCCCCCCCCAATGTTTATTGACTTTGCTTTGTTCAGACGCTGGCCTGATGAAGAAAGAAAACCACACATACCTACAGAAGGAAGCAATTATCCAGAAACAGATGGTAAGCAAGGATGCTTTTCTCCTCCCCATATATAAAGAAGCAACTTGTGATTTAAAGCAAGGTCTGAAAGGTTATTTTTCTGAAATGCTCAAGAGTTATTTCGATGGGAGCAAACCCAGGCTTCAAATGAATAAGAACTGCCAAGTCCAGCTGGCAGTTGCATTGGGCTACAGTTGAGGGGGGGGGAGACAGGATTTAAGGCCCTCTGGAACAGCTAATAGCTTTCTTTCTCAATTTCCATAGCCTCTTTTCAAAATCATCCATGCTAGTAACAACCATCACATTTTCCAGTAGAGAGTTCCAAAATGTAATTAAATGGAGGGGGGTTTAGTGTTTGCCCAATTCAGTTTGCTAAAGAAAGCACTGTGTACTGAACATTATGCAAACACCGTTGTATTTTGCTAAGGGGGGGGTAAGGTGTTGTGGGAACCAATCGTGGTTTGGCTGGTTCAGTCTGTCTTCTTCAAATAGACCTATGTTAGTGTGGTTTAAAAAAAGGGTAGGGAAATTTATTTCTACCCCACCACACACACCAACACGACGGTGTACATTTTATAAACTACTGACAAATTCTGTTCCCTTCACACTGAAATTAATCCACATTACGGACATAGTTGTATATGGCCTTGCATTGGTAAAACAAACATGCCTTCGGCCCAGAAATATTTTTAACTAAAACCAATATACCATATATTAAAACAGCCTCCCCTGCTTCTCTAGGCAACAGTTCTCAAACATTTGGGATCCCCTTTACAGTCTTAAAAATGACTGAGAATCCCAAAGAGCTTTGGCTGATGTAGGCTATGTCTAGACATTTTAAAATATTTGATTTTGCAGACCCCCCTCTGAAATGGTCTTAGGACCACCACCCCCTAAGAACTGCTACTCTAGGCACCAGGATGTGCAAGGCTGAAATTTGTGAGGTGAGGACGCGATGGCTCAGCAGATAAACAGCTGGAATTGTCAGCTGGAAAGCTGGCAGCCCAGGTTTGAGACCTAATCACTGCACAATGGGTTGAGCTCCTGTTGCTTGCTCCAGGCTCTGTGGTGCTTGGCATATCGTCACGCTGGCCACACGACCACGGAAAGGGTCTTCGGACAATGCTGGCTCCCTCGACTAAGAAGCAGAGATGAACACACACACACACCCTAGAGTCAAATACGACCGGACAGGGGAAACCTTTACCATTTATATCTAAACTATCCCAAAAACCACAAATAGATTCCCTTGCTGTCTTTAAATTTCATTATACTGCATTTATCTCAAGAGAAAACGGGTGTCCCCCCTCCAATAATTTACCTTTTAAAATGAGAGGGTTGTATTTGATGGGGCACGGGGTGGAAGTTTCCCTTCCTTGATCTTCCCTTTTCTGGGTGAGTAGAGTCACTTTTAATTCTGATTTTGTTTTCTTTTGAGTAAAATGTGGTAGATAACAACTGGAGCGACAGAGAAGGGTGGCGTGGAAATAGAGAAAGCGGAATTGTAGGAGATGGTTTAAATATGCCCATACCAGAAGTTCTTAAATTACAGATGCCCGTTCTGTACAGAAGCCTTCCGACGTCATTAGGCATCATGTGAAGTTCTATAAAGACAAGCAGAGATAACCTCGACAAAGATATTCAGGAACTGCTGACAAAAGGAAATGACACCTCGGTCCTTGAATAGGGAAGGTGTGACAAAGACACTCAAAATAACTCCACTTTGGGTTTTATTTGGCATAAATGGGGGCAAAACCTCTGGCAGGCTTTCAAGATTCTGTTATTTCAACAACAGTGTCACTGGAATCGTGGCAAAAGTCCCCTTTCCTGACCTGGTTTTACCTGGAAGGGCTGACCCCTTGTCTAAGTGACCCTTCTCTTCTCTCAGGGACCTAAAGATGTTGCTGATCCAGCTCAGGATCCCAACAACCAAGGGGAAGATGAGTTTGAGGAGGCAGAACTGGAACGGCCCAGCTTTGAAGAAAAAACGGATCCGGCTGAACAAACCCACCAGACAAATCGGCCGGCTAACGCTGTGAGCCAGGAAAAGCTTCCGGTTCGTTTTATCCCTCTTAGAAGGTGGGTGGAGGGACACAGACACCAACATGAAAGGGAAGATGTTTGTAGAAAAACCAACCACAGGGTGGGCACTGGGATCCAGAGCGCTGGGATCCTTGGGGATCCCTCCAGAGAAAGGAGCTTCTGGTGTTTTCTGATTTAAAACAAATCTGTCAACAGTTTGAAAGTGGCCTGCTTGGGTTCCCTTCAGGTGTAAATAGCTTTGAAGGGGATTTCTTGCCCTCGAAGAGGTTTAGTTTGGCTGTGCTGAATTTTCAGTCACGTCAAAGCATATGGCAGTGGTGGCGGACCTATGGCACGGGTGCCAGAGGCGGCACTCGGAGCCCTCTCTGTGGGCATGCGCGCCGTCGCCCCAGTCCTAGACCTTCGGCTGGGTTTTATAAAACCTTTTCGCTTTAGGCCTCCGCCGCCGTGTGCAAAAAAAAAGGTTCAATCAATCAGTCAATTTCAACTTCTCGCGGGGAAAAAAAAGATCTTGCAAAGTTGGAATTGATTGATTGAACTTTTTAGTCCCACCCAGTCTGCCATTACCACCGCAGCCACGCCCACCCAGTGGGCCACACCCACCCAGTGGGCCACACCCACCCAATGGGCCACACCCACCCAATGGGCCACACCCACCCGGCACCCGACGATGCATAAGTGGATTTTGCGTTGCAGTTTGGGCACTCGGACTCTAAAAGGTTCGCCGTCACTGGCATATGGGGATCCTGAGGCCGCTGGCCTTTAGCCACCGCAATCCCGCCATTTTAAAGATCTCTTTATTTCTTAGCATTTCACTTGACCAATTGTATTTTGGTGTGTGCTTTGTTTCCCAGGGAGCTGATCGGCCAAATAAAGCCACCGACAGTTTAATGGATGATTATCAGGAGGACCAAGAACAAGATCCTGTATGAAGCTTGGGTGTTTGTTTTTTTCCTGTTTTTTTTTTTCTCATAGGCCATCTTTCTGTGAGCATGCTGGTTTATGGGTAGAGGTTTCCTAAATGCTGGTCTGTTTTCAAGTGAGGCTGGTTGCTTAGGGCAAGTAAGGGCCCTTTCCAGGTGAGCACGCTTGCAAATTTGGAATAGAACGTGGTTCTTTCCTTCTCTTGCTTGTCGCAGACCTCTCGACGACAATATTCCCTTTAGGTAGCTTAATATTACAAATCTTCTCAACAATCACCACAAAGATACGAGGGTCAGGCAACAGTGCAGCTTCCATCTCCTGTCAATTCATCCTTGTTCAGATTGTCCTTTCTTCTCCTGCTGGCTGGGTTGTGGAATCATCATTCCCAAAGCTTCTGGAGGGCACCAAGCAGCTGGGATCAGTCCGTCCTTGAGCAAGGCGAAGGGACAAGGAGTTGTGAGTTGGGTGACTCTGACACTTGGGGAAATAAGCCAAGGTCTGTCTGCCTCACCTTGACACCTAAACGGGATATTTGGGAAGAAAGCAAAGGAAGTTTCTGCTAGGGGTGTTCATTTGATCCTCTCTGGGATTGATTGGAAAAGTAACAGAAGAGAATAAAAGAGTTGGAAAGGATCTTGGAGGTCATCTAGTCCAACCCCCTGCTCAGGCAGAAAGCCCTAGACCAGGGGTAGGCAACCTCGGCTCTTTTATGACTCATGGACTGCAACTCCCAGAATTCCTGAGCCAGCGAATTCTGGGAGTTGCAGTCCATGAGTCATAAAAGAGCCGAGGTTGCCTACCCCTGCCCTAGACCATTTCAGACAAATGGTTGCTTAATCTCTTCTTAAAAACTTCCAGTGTTGGAGCACCCACAATTTCTGGAGGCAGGTTGTTCCACCGATGGATTGTTCTCACTGACAGGAAATTTCTTCTTAGTTTTAGATTGCTTCTCTCCTTGATTAGTTTCCATCCGTTGCTTCTTGTCCTGCCTTCAGGTGCTGTGCTCTTCTTCTTGGCAGCCCCTCAGATGTTGAAACACTATCATGTCATCCCCCAGTCCTTCCTTTTCTTTAAACTAGACATAGCCAATTCCTGTAACTGTTCTTTATGTTTAGCCTCCAGTCCCCTAATCATCTTTGTTGCTCTTCTCTGCGCTCTTTCTACTTCCTGTTTTCTTTGCAGGAGGACCATGGAGGTGAGGTCGGTGACCCTGAAGATTTGGAACAGTTCCATCAACCCAAAGGCCATGTTGGAGATGTTGACAGAAAAGAGGACTACTTTTGACCATGGGCTGGGAGGCAGCACCAAGCCACCAAGTTTGATCCAAACCAAAGACTGACTGTTGCAATAAACTTGGGCTACTTTAGTCGAAACCGCCAAGAGAGGTGGAGAGTTAATTCCATCTTGTCTTCAGAAAGTCATTGGCTGCGTTGACCAAATGGAGATACTATATTTCCCCACCTCCTGTTAGTGAGGGCAGGATTGACACGCAGTGCCAACCTGTCAGAATGCTACCGTGAATACAAACATCAGAATGTTTCTTCGTGGGGGTAAGGAGCTCAAAATATCAAAAAAATCAAGGATTGTTTTTCCCTTTGGAAGAGTCCTATCCTCTTACTCTCATTTGGACCATAGGCAAAGCCTGATGTAGCGCAGAAGTACCGTTACAGTTTGGGCTACTTGCGTTTCCTTTTGCCCCATTTCCGATTTACCTGACTTCCGTTCAGAGCAACCTCATCACCTTTCTATGTATGTACATATATAAAAAGAGGGTCCATTTGGTAACAAGGTGTCCATTATTTGTCCGGGTTTTGTTATGGATCAGTAGCGAGGGGAAATTGCCATTGTTTCGATAGAATGGGAACAGAAAGAGAGCTCAACGGGAGCCTGCTGCTGATTGACAAATGCGTAACGTGCAAAGGCAGGCATGTTTATTCAAAATGGATTCATCCTTCTGCAATTGACAGTGTGGGAACTTGTGCCAGCAAGCCATTTCAGATTTTTTTTTTTTAAAGGTTGAGAAATATTTGCATATTTTATTTTTTTTAAAAAATCACATTGGGAAAACATTTGCATCTCTTAACACCTTTGTGGGAGAGTAATTTTCAAAGGCCGAGGTTTGTATAATTTCATGGGTGTGAGCTGTTCAGAAATGGAGCACCCACTAAATAGCAAAATTAGACAAGGCTGACCAGTTTATCAAAGAGGGGAAAAAAAGAAAGAATAACAAATGCCTTTTCTCCCGTTTCCGAGGACGGGAGGGGCAAAACTGGTTAACGTATTTATACCATTAAATGTTATAACACTGCTGGAATGGAAATTAGGAAGCTGTTGATGGCTCATGGTCTCTATGGCAGTTCCCCATGTTGGCTGGGGAATTCTGGGAGTTGAAGTCCATGAATCTTATAGTTACCAAGGTTGAGAAGCATTGCACTATAGGTTGGGGGGATACACTGTGCTCTGTGGAAGATCCAAATAATGGCACATTAGAGGGGGGGAAAAAATCGAGATTGGAACCCAGAACAAACAAGTGTGACTACAATGGGCGTGTAGAACTAGAAGACTAACCAATAATATAACATTGCAAATATCATTGTGAAATTACCTACGTGGTTGAATCGCGATGGAAGGCCAACACAGAACATAGAATTATAGGGCCGGAAGGGACCTCAGAGGTCTTCTAGTCCAGCCCCCCCCCCTGTTCAAGGCAGGAGACCTTATACCATCCTGGTCAAATGCTTGTCCAAATGCTTGTCCAAGACAAACCAGACGTTAAATCAATATTTGTATTTCTCCGCAAGCGAATGTATATTCTCCTCTTTGAGTGTCTGCCAAGAGACCTTACAGAAATGACCCTTTTGTTGCTTTTGAGAGGAAGGCAGTGGGACCGTACGGGAGAGGCAGGACTAGGCTGGGCTGCCTGGAGGGCTCCAAGTTGGACATCAAAGGAAAAGTGTTTCAAACAGAACGACGTGGGACGGCATCAAAGGTCAACTCTGCAGTGAAGCCAGCCCCTCGGAGACCACCAAAGGATAACAGGAGCTGGAGTCTCTAACAAGAGAAGAACTCGGATTATGGAAATGCTGCTAGGCTTCCATAAACGTGTTAACCAGAGAGATGAGGCCTCTTTCCAAATTTTGATTTAATGCATCCCAGTCTCCTGGCTGCCTGCTATAAATAGCGCTTTCCAAACAGATTAATCCGAAAGCTAAGTCATCTGCCTGGCCACGTAGCAGGCAAGCCACGTTTCCAATTCACTCGGGGGCTGCAGAGATGCGAGGCCTTTCGCCAGCTGCCTGATCAAAGTTGACACAGGCTGGATTCCGCCCAAAACTTCCGCTGAGAAATGAAGAGCAAAGGCCGATTTCCCACTTGGACATTCCTCCTTCCCTCCCTGCTATCCCTCCCTTTTATAGGGCATTTGTGGTGGGACCAACAGGCGGAGTCACCGTTCGGAGGGAATCTCAAGATTTGTTCCGCAATTGGAACGAACTACCCCCCGAGATCCGGATGATTCCGGATCTCCCTGCTTTCCGTCGCGCCCTCAAGACAGGGCTTTTCCAGCAAGCGGACCTGACCTAGGGAGGATTTTATATGGGGTTTATTTTTTAGCAATTTGATAGAGACACAACTTTAAAATTTGATTTAATTCGGTTTTATCGGGGGGGGAATGTATTTATGTTTTGTTTTAAATATGTTGTGCGCCGCCCTGAGTCCCGTCGGGAGAAGGGCGGCATATAAATTAAAATAATAATAATAATAATAATAATAATAATAATAATTGCTGCCAGCAACAGAAATAAATAACCACAGGTAGAGCTGGTAGCCACCTTCTCCAGGCCTATGTTCTCTGGAGGCATTGGCTGACATCTCTGGCCCTCCCAGCTGGGGAGAATGGGAGATGTAGTCCAAAGGCCTCAGATCCTGTTCCAAGATCCTGTTCCTTTGGAAACAGTGATTGAGAGGATCATTGCCGAGTTGAAAAGTAATGCACAGTTGAAGAAACTTCCTGTTGAAGGAAACCCTGAAGGCAAACGTTCCTGAATGAAGTTTACAGTTGGAATATTGTAGAAAGGTTGCAGGAAAGCAATCCCATGCCCTGCAGATGTTTTACACTCTAGCTATGTCCCTGGCTGGGGCCAGGGCTGATGGGAGTTGATACCCATGTTTGCCAACCCTGTTTAGGCAGAGCTGCCTTTGCAAGTCACAAACTTCAACGGGTAGAAAATGTTGTTGCCGGAAACTTGGGCGCCAACTGGCCGAATTAACGAGCGGGTTGTTTCTGAATAAAATTCCAAGGTTGGTTTTATTGCTTTAAATGCTTGGGATTCAATTGGGTGGAATGCCCTCCCCTTAAGATCAACTCACAAAGAACTTTTAGGCACTCTCTGGAGGTATAATTTCATGTTCTCTTCCATACGGGTGTTTTGCCAGTGTTTAAAAATGGTTTCCCCCCCCCCCAGCAAACATTGAGTTCCGCTGTGTATGAGTTGGCCCCGTCAGTGACTTTTGATAAATTCTGCATCTTAGAATCACACTTATTGCATTAGTTAAATTATGTGATCTATTATTTGCTTTACTCTTTGATGGGATGGATTTTATTGGCTCTCGGAAAGGAATATAGAGGGTTTTCTGATCCAATTATCAATCTTTCTCTGGGGAATTTTCTTGCATAGCTTAATTTGCACAGGCTGCCCATTTATCCTTCCATCCTGATCCAGCTTGTATCAGTCCTACCAGTATAGCAATGACTTTCCTAGCTTTTCTATAGAGATCATCCCAGAATATCTGCCCTTTACGCCGACTTGAGACCCTATTCCATAACTGAGTAATCCATGGCTGTCTTCCTCTCCAGCTAAAAACACAGCTCTAGTTCTGTCTCTTTTTAGACAGAAAGCCACCATTGGTATTTTTTTTAAAGGGAAGAATTTACGGTAAGGACAACAAACAAGAGTCTAATTGGTGGGATTAGAAAGAAAGAACTGATTTGGACCATCTTGGAAAGGCAGACACATCCACTGCTAAATTTCCAGTGGAGACTATAGCTGTTGTTGTTTCCTTCCGTTGACTAACCTCTTTTTATCACTAACCTGTCTGCACTTACGGCATCCTCACAACATATCTGTAACCTAGACTGGGCAAAATGATTGGACCAAAGTCATCCAGTGAGTAATCTAGTTCTCCCCATCCCAGTTTGTCAGCTCAGGTTAAATGGCCCAGCTTCCCTGTTCAGCATATATAGCCAGTTCACTTTCATTTTAATTATGCTTATTTTATTAGGATTCCAAGCTTAATTGGAAGTGCACATTCCCTAGGGGGAAAAAAGGTAAAACTTTTGGGCCTGGGGGCTAGAGCCAGCACAGAATATGTGGAATTTTTAAAGTATGTGTTGAGTGCCCCCTGGTGGACACATCACAAATCACACTTTTTATCAAAAAGGAAGCTGGGACCCACCAACCTGCTAAGAAACTTTCTACCTTTCCCACAAAACTTTTTTCCCCTGCCGTTTTTTTTTAATTGCCAAAGGATGCTCGGTGAATTTCGGAAGCTTATTCAAGATACCAAGGATGTTGTGATGTGAATTCAGCCTTTAAGCTCATAATTGAATCCTTTTTAGAACTGAAAGGGAAAGAAATACCCTGGCTCTAGAAAACTATTATTTTGATCTCACAAGTCTGCTGAGTCTCTTTAGGCTGAGCAGATTCTAAATTTGGCTTCATTTACAGCCAGGACAGCTCGGTGTCCCTGACAAGGTTTTTATTAATGTCTGTTTGCAGAGAGCTGGCTGTTCCTAGGGCAGGCACTTTCTGCAGAGGAGCCAAATGCTGCATGGCCAAATTCATGCAAAGGCAGGCAGGCATTTTTCCAAAGGCCCCAAGAGGAAACATTCCTCTGGATGACAGCGAGAGAGAGGATCTCCTACACGTGGAAATAGAATCTAAGAGAGTCCACTAGGCACTTCCAAGCAGTTTTCTTCCCAGCGCTGCCTCCTGCAATATTTTTGCACTTCCCAGTCTAACCAATTTCTGCCTAGCTTAAGTTTCTTGAATGAGAAGCGAAACGTCTTCGGGGGAAAAAACAACAACAAGGAAGTCCAGCGGTCTCTTGAAAAAGCACCTTTGGGACAGCCAGGACCTGGAGGACGGAGAATCTCCACAGACATCCAACCCGCTTGATTTTCACGGGCTTCCGAACTTCAAAGGCTGGATCTGGGCATTACTGCAAAGGGTGCAAGGGGCTGAGTTCACACGCACCGAGGTTTTTGGAGAGCGATGTAGCATCCCTGGCGGGTTCTCCGGGGTCCGGAGGGCGCCCTCTAGCGCTCCGAGAGAGCCACCCCTGCAGCGTCCGGCAAGCGGCCAAGCGGCCCGAGAAGTAGCGCAAAGAACATTTGTAAAGCCGCTTCTTCTGCACGGTTCCGCGCCTCCCCCCCCCCCGGCCTCCGAGCGAGCGAGCGAGCCTCGAAGGCGGCGCCGGGAGGCAGGGAAGCGGCGGGCCAGGGGCGGAGTTGGCCCGCCCTCCCCGGGCGGAGATGCCAGGAGGTGCCGCGCCGTCTCCAAGCGGCCACTTTGAAAATGTCTCCGCCGTTTTGCCGGGAAAGGCCAGGGGGGTCGGCGATCGCCCCGGCCTGCCGAGCCGGCTTTCCGGGGGCGGCGGCGGCGGCGGGGGCGCCGCGCTAGAGACCTCGATCCAGCCCTGCCCATGCCCCGGCCCGGCCAGCATGTGCGCTTTCTGCCTCCTGGTGGCCCTGCTGCTTTGCGCGCCGGGCGCTTGGGGAGCCGAGCCGAAGGCAGAGCGCAGAGCCGGGGAAGAAGCGGCGGCGGCGGCGGCGGCGGGCGTGGAGCCGTGGTGCCCCTACAAGGTGCTGAGCGAGGAGGGCAGCCCGGGCCGGCTGTGCTTCCGCAGCCCGGCGCGGGGCTTCCAGTGCGCTCCGGAGCGTTGCACGGCTCATCGCTCGCCCGGCCGCGCCCTGCTGGCCAACGTGCTCCGCAACGGCAGCGTCCTGCTGCAGTGGGCCTGGCCGCCGGCCCCGCGCCTGCCCGCGCTGCGCGGCTTCGCGCTCTCCTGCTCGTGGGAAGGCGCCTACACGCGTTTCCAGTGCGACAGCGTGCGCCTGGGCACCGCCTGCCGGGATTACTTGCTGGCCGACGCGCACGGCAGCGTCCGCTACCGCCTCTGCCTGCAGCCGCTCTTCGCCGAGGCCAACCGCAGCGGGGCCCAGCCGCAGCCGCCGCCGCCGCCGCCCCCGTCCTCCTCCGCCGAGTGCGTGGAGTTCACCGTGGAGCCGGCCGGCATGCGGGACATCGTGATCGCCATGACGGCCGTCGGGGGCTCCATCTGCGTCATGCTGGTGCTCATCTGCCTCCTGGTGGCTTACCTGACCGAGAACCTCACGCCCGCCTCGGCCAAGCGGGGCAAGTGAGCCGGCCGGCCGGCCTCGGCCCCGGAGTCGAGCGGCGGGCCCTCCCGGGGCGGCTCAGGGCTTCTTCTTCCGCCGGTTTGGGCGGCGGGATTTCGGCTCTGCCCCAGATCCACGCCCTCCCAGTTAAGTAGTGTCCGTTTGATTGCAATAGCGACCGTTAGTTAAGCGCCCTCGGAGACCTTTATTCGTGGGCTTGTGCACGTGGAGTTTAAGATGCGGTGCAATATTCAACCACGTGGAACATAAATACTGGCCAAAAAGCAGGCTTATTGCCTAAAAGGTGGCCATTGCAAGTCCATCTCGGCTATCACGAACGAGCGAAAGCGTTTATTCACTTCTATCCCGGTTTTTTTCCCCATCCCATCAAGGACCCCAGATGTCTAACAGTAAAAAAAAGAAAAGAAAAAGAAAATACAAGCGATTAAAAACCTGTGAAAATAACGTTATTAACGTTATTAACGCTCCTCTTTGGTTTTCATCTGAGCCGTTTTAATATTCCCTGATCTATAATCTGACTAATGTCCTAGCGTGTTATGCAAATCCGACCTGCTGTGGTTTATTTTAATACTTTGAGGAATGACTTCAGCGGTTTTGGGAATCCAGAACTCTAGCTGTAAGGTCAATTTTCAGCTGGGGAATAATAGCTTTGAGGACATTTTTTTTTTTACAAAATTGCACATCAGCTAATTAATCTTGCAAACATGTATATATATATATAAAAGGAGAAGCCGTTACCGTGAAAGAAGAAAATTAACTTTGTAATGAACGGCAGAGTGGGTTTCTGGCTGAAGGTGTCAACATCTCACTACTGCAGGCACGTTTCTTGCTTCGGCTTCCATTCTTGGCCCTGTGGGGTCGACATCCAAGTTCAAAGCTGAAAATAAAATAAAATTAAAGTCAGGACCAACTCAAGACATTCTCCTGCCTGAAGCAAAGGGCAAAAGGCTGGAATAGTAGGGGTGATACTTGTTTTGTGTGTGCGTGTGTGTTTTTAAAAGCATCGATTCATCTCTATATAGCCTTTTTATTCTGTCTCCAGATAAAAGGGTGACAGAAAGATTAATATAAAAAAGGCAGCTTCTATCAGCTTGTTTACAATCTAAAACAACGTGGAAGGAAAACAAAATGGGCAGAAGAGGGAAGGAAATGAAAAGCCCAAATGCCAAGTTAAATGTTACAAGCACGTGATAGAACTAGTCTTTCAGCTGGCTGCTGAAAGGGATGTTTAAGGGCTCTGAGAACTGAGATTATATCACGACACTCGTGTCAAGATTGTCATTCTCTGCTCTACCCCACTGCTTCTGTGATAGCGCCAATGTAGCCAGGCTATGTTAATCATAATTCTGTGCCTTCAGGCTGAATGTTGTCCTCTTGCTTGTCCCGGTTTTTGTTCCACAGCATAACCAAACTTCTCCATTACTGTAGTCTCTTTCGCTTGGGGAGTTTGTGCACTTTTAGATTTGATGTCCACTCGTTCTTTTCCCTTTGTGATCCCAGTGGAAATGAAGGAAGCCCAACAAATGTGTTTGAGTGCCTGGCTGCATCTTTGTTTTGTTGTGGTTACTGCTAGGTGTTTTTTGTTTTTTAAATAAATGCCTTTGAGGAGCAAGGTTTTTCTTTATCACCACGCAACGTGAAGGAATGGGTTGAGAGCCACGTAAAGAAAGGAAGCGCATTGGCTCTCAGGCCTCTCCTTCAAGAACAAATAAAAGTGGATTACAAACAGAGTACGGGTCAACTTTTTTTTTTGTTCGCTTTTGCACGTACCTTGGTACAATGAAACCACAATCCCAAGTTTACAAAAGATGGGCCTCAGATGCATCAGTAGGGATGTGGTGGCTCAAGTAACTGTTGTAACAACCAGAACTTGAGGCTGTGTCCTGTGTCGGCTTGTGTTGGATGCCATCATCTCACGTTGTATGGATATGGATCTACTTCCTGTTCCTGTCTGCAGATGGGCATTTGAGCTTTCATCTTCTCATTTTTCTTGAACTCGGTTCCTCTAGTTTAACCTGGCCTCGTCGCTAGCTCAACTTTGGGGCTCTATTCCTCCCACCTTCAAAAGAGCAAGGAGTTTGTTCGTTCTCCTATTATTGTTCGCAGAGAGAGGACACCTGATGATGTTTCCATGTGTACCTCGCCACATGTTGAAAGCCAGCCCCTCAAGGAAAAAGGGCTGATCATCCAAACTTGACCTTCAACTCGATAGAGACGAATTTCCCTTTGTTTCTGAAACCAATGTTTTATGCTGCCCAATAAGTGAAGGATGGAGCTTGGAGGAAGCCAGCAAGGAGGAGAAATCAAAATTTGGGGTTGGCATAGTCCTGGGGATGGAGTCTTGTTTGTGTTTTTCTCTTGGTAGGCAGAAGGTGCTGGGGAGGGGAATAAAGGCAGTAATTTACCAGGGAAGCAAATCAGAAATTGGTGGCTATTGGACAGAGATAGCTTCCAAATGTATGCTGTCCCTCAAAATACATAGCACCCACTGCAGGGTTGACACAGATTTCCTCTAGCAAGGATCTTAATATCTTTAAAAACAACTATCACTGGAAAGGAATTGTAAGTACAAAAAAACATCATATTCCTTATTCACTCTTGTCATTTTTTCTCTCTCCTGATCTACCTAGTGACTGAAAATAACTTTTCTCTCTCTCATCTTTCCTTCCCTTCTCTCCAAATAAAGGGGTTTTTTTCCCCTTAAAAAAAGGGGAAGCCAGGATGGGGGAAGAGAAAGGAAGCACCTTCCTCACCATATAGACAAATAGAAAGCAGGATGGGAATGGATGTCTATTTTTAAATCGGATGATGAGCACGTGTGAGGCAGGAATAGAAATGCAACTGCACCAGACAGCTTCCTCAAAGAGGGCACACACACACACACACACACACACGCTTTTCCTCAGTCCTAATTGCCAATTCAGGCAGAGGAAAGGAATGGAAAAAAACACAAAAGAGAGAAGTGGGAAGGGATTTAGGGGAAAGGCAATACACCTGAAAACAGGGAGAGATCGAATCGAATTGTTGGCAGAGGAGAGAACGGGCCCGTGTAGTGGTGTAAAATTTTAGACTCTGGTCAGAAAGATTTAAACTCCACTCTTTTAAAAATGATATAGATCTTATTATTTCCTTGATTTCAAAGTAGGCTAAGCCAGCTTTGCTCTCTTTGGGAAGCTTTGTTAATAGTGCTGAACGGGGTGTGTGTGTGTGTGTGCCTGCTTAATTCCCCCCACCCTGTGTGTATGTGGGGGGGGGGAGGGAATTTTTCTGAAACATTCCTCAGTTTAGATTTGGGACTTCCTTGTTAGCTGCATATTTGTGCAAAAAAAACCCATCCTAAATATTATGCAAAATGCAGTGCTTGCTAACTTTGTTGCACTGCTCAGCCCTTCTGGTGAATTGACACACCTCTTCCTTCATTGTTACATACAGATGGAGGCAGTCTTGATAGCTTGCTTTTCCGTTCCCCAGATAATCTTGATTTACACTAATAACTGTCATAGTTTTTTAAAGGTGTGGTGGCTTATTAAAATGAAAGGCATTTGTGCATTACTGGAATATATCCCCACCCTAAAAAAAAAAGCCCATTGAAAATCTTAATGTGAAGATGGATACTAGTCTTAAGACTTTTATCTTTTTCTTTTCTGGGTAAAGGTCTCAGTTAACTAAAGTTGCCATCCTAGACAGAAACTTAAAGGTTCCACTAAGGCAAAGTCAAGCTAGGAAGGCTAAATGAAGCAAGGCGGAGATTGTGTTGCAAAGTCTTCGGTCCAAGAGAAAAATAAGCACCATGGATAGCTCTGGTGCCCAAGCTGTGCGGCAATCCGGCTAGGAAGTCCAAATGTTGCTTCAGCAACAAATAAAAACAGACCTCTAAGAAGCAGACTCTCTTAAGGTAGAGGCTGACACATCCTTCCTGTTTGTTCATCATTGTGTGTGCCGCTGCTCCTGCCCTTTCCCTGTCAATCACAGCTCCTTTAGGCAAATGGAACAGAGTCAAAAGTTTATTTACGTTCGGATGTTTAACAACTGGTTCATATTTTATGGCATTTGCAATGCCCTGCATCTTTTGCGACCTTCTGACAAGCAACGTCAATGGGGATATCGGATTCACTTAACCACCATGTTACTAATTTAACCACTGCAGTGATTCACTTAACAACTGGGGCAAGAATAGTTGTAAAATGGGACAAAACTTAACTTTCTCGCTTAGCGACATAAATTCTGGGCTCAATCATGGACTAGTTGTGGTACATCCATCACAATAAAAATCTGGTAGTTACTTCAACTAATCCCTCCATCAAACACTTATGCTTGGAGGGAGCATCTTTTAATCCTCAGCTACCTATATTTCCCAAAGCTAATAATTAAACCTTTAAGTATGGGGTAAACGCTGCAAGATTTAGCTTCTATCTTACAAAGCACAGAATGGGCCAGAATTCTTTTCATTCCAAAGGGACATGCTCCGCTTTGCCCTGTCCATAATTCCTGACGAAATCAAGAAGAAATTTGTGTTTTCTAACTAGTGAACTTTGGGGGGGGGGGGTTGAAGAAAGCTACTGGGATCAAAGTTGGGAATCTGTCAGTGAGCCTCAGTGTTATTAAAAGTTTTTTAGAGACTTATTTGTGCATTTTGCATCTGTTTTAACTATTTCTTTGCTGGCCAATTGACAACCTTAGCTGAATGGAAACCATCCACTGTATTTCTTTCATCCTTTTCCATTTTTTCCCCCCTGCTCCGAGCTTTGCAACATTTGACTGCCATCTAGCGGAGTCAGGATCTCAAAATTTGCTAACAGAGAAATTAGAGATGGGAAGTCTCAAAAGAGCACCACAACAGTTGGGATGGCGAATCAGGACTGGAGAAACCTAAGTTTGAATCTATTTTTGGCCATGGAATCTTATAGGTGACTGTTTACTTCTTCCTTTCTCATGCTAAGATTTTGCATAGAGAGAAATTCTCCTTTCATAAAAGACTCATGAGAGTTCTTTGTCAGTATTTGATTAGGCTAACACTGATGTCGTTGCTTAGAAGGTGAGGCATTTGTTCAGCCAACCACAAGCTGACAGAATTTATTAAAGCAGAGAAAAAATCTTTCTCTTCTTGGATCTGTTCATCTTTGGGATTTTCTATGACTTTTCTTTCCACAGTTGTTGAGTAAATCACTGCAATTGTTAGATTAGTAACACAGTTAAGTGAATCTGGCTTCCCCATTGACTTTGCTTGTCAAAAGATAATAAAAGGTGATCACATGACCCAGCTGATGGCAAAAATAGGTATGATCCAAAGCTTCAAGGGTCTGGCAACTTGTCTGTTTAAATGAGTAAACTGGGACGGAATCTGTCCATTTGTGATGTCAAATATCTGAGAATGTTTCATTAACTGACATTCCGAAAAAAGCCCAGATCCAAATCATAGTATTTGGGGCTCTTTCAATGACAGAGCCATGTTGAATGTCAGAGTCTTACAAACACCAGCCGTAATCATTGATAATGGATCCGGATCTTGCAAAGCTGGGATTTCTGGTGAGTCTGAACCAAAATCCATTGTCCCATCTGTTGTTGGTCATTTCAAAGAGAGGCCGGAGGAAATTTATATTGGAGGTGGAGCCCTCTCCAAGAAAGGGGCCTTGCTGAGTTATCCTGTTGAACGTGGGATTATTTCCTGTTGGGATGATATGGAGAAGCTGCTAAGATACATCTACAAATACGAACTTAAAGTGAAGCCCAGCACAAGGCCTGCCTTTCTTTCAGAGCCCCCCAGGAATCCGCTGAAGAATCGGGAAAAAATCACCGAGCTCATGTTTGAAAGCTTTAAAGTTCCGGCTTTGTACCTTGCGATCCAAGCTACTCTAGCCTTGTATACCTCGGCTCGTACCACCGGTTTGGTGCTGGACAGCGGAGACGGAGTAACCCATGCCGTCCCAATTTATGACGGATACTGCTTACCTCATGGGGTATCCAGACTCCCTGTGGCAGGGAGGGACGTGACGGACTACCTTGCCAATCTCCTTTTGGAGAACAACCCTGCTTTAGTGAGCCGAGCCAGGAAAACGGTGCTGAGGCTCATCAAAGAGAATTTCTGCTACGTGGCTTTGGATCCCAAACAAGAAGCTCAGAAGAAGGTGGAAGAGACTGTGAAGCTCCCCGATGGAAATACCATCAAAGTCCATCTGGATCTCTGCCAAGCGCCAGAAATCCTTTTTACGCCCAAGACCATCGGTGTTGAGGCACCAGGCATCCATACCATGATCGTCAGGAGCATCCGGAAGTGTGACAAGGACATTTGGGCTCCCTTATACGGGAATGTGGTCCTCTCAGGGGGGTCTTCTCTTTTCTGGGGCTTGGACGAAAGAATCTTTAAAGAGATCGAGCACCACGTCCCAAACGGGGTTCCCATACGAATCATAACACCTCCGGAAAGGTCCAGCGCGGCTTGGGTGGGCGCATCTATTATTAGTAACTTGGTATCTTTTCAACCAATGTGGTTTACCCAGGAAGACTACAAAGAATTTGGGGTGGCTGGGATTCACCGGAAGTGTTTTTAGGAAGCCGGGAGGTTAAATTCTGCTGATGAAAATGTAGGAAGTGTTTATGGAATCCAAAGCAAAATTTTTAAAAGCTGATTGGGGAGACTATAAAACGATTAAAAATGCACAAAGGACAGTCAGTTGAGCAACATGTCTCTTGGTTTTGGACAAGGTCTTCATATTTGGATTATTTACATCTGTTTAGCCTTGTTTGAGAAGAGGGGTAGCTTTTATTTATTACTTGAGAAAGGGGTCCAGGGTAGGAGAATTTTTTTCAGGCTTCTCCCAGTTTTTCTATTTTTTTTTCCTACTGAGAGGAAAGTCAAACTTCATAAGACAGAAAAGGAGAAGGGCAATTTAATGTTTTCTTAACCCTGATATTTTTAAAACTTTTTTTTTTTTTTAGCTTTTGAAATTTTCCAAGTAGAGGATTTTATATTTGAAGGGTTGGTAAAGCTATATTACAGGCACTGCAGTTAAAATCTCTCTGGTTTGTTTTCTAAGGATGCTTGGGCTTACATTTTAGCAAATCTTGGAATTATGTTGCTGGAAAAGTTTGGGAAAGAAACCTATTTTTCTATATGGTCCAGGTTTAAAACATAGTTTGCTCAAGCCAGTCCCTAAACTAACCATGAAGGTCCACACCACACAACTAAGCTCAAGTGGGCTTGGTTAGTTAGCAGGTTAGAGATGGTGTGTAGAAACAAGATATTCAATATTAACGCTTAACAATGGCATTCACACAATATGCTACTATTGGTTAAGCCTGAATTTGAGTCTTTTTTTATGGTTGAACATGATGTACCAATATAAATTTAGGTTAGCTGACAGGCCACTTAACTGTAGAAAAGTAGAGAAGGGGGTTCATTTCACGACTAGGATAAGCGTCTTGTGTGAATGCAGCCTGTCCTGGGAACTCAGCTTCAGAGTTGACCTATCCTCCAAAAGAGGGGAGACCATAACTCTGGGAATACCTAGCCAAGCATGGGAGGTGTAGTCCCAGTCCTCTGGAAGGCACTGTTTGAAACGAAAGTCTGTCAGGAATCTTCTACCCGCTCTTCAGGACTCCATTTCCAGCGTTTCTCTGAGGTAACCGCAAGTGGTCACGGGAAATGTATTCCTCCGGGCGGCGAAAAGGCCGCTTCGCGCATTCGAACGCTCGACGCTTGCCTACAAATCCCAGGATGCCTTGAGCGAAGCGACGGCGGTTAAACGGATAATCATGGTGCGGTGTACAAGAGCTGCTCCAGGGCCGCTAGGGCGGCGCTGTTTCCCCCGCCTTCAGGCCCTTTCCTTCTATGGAGCGCCGGAAACGGCTTCCATAATACTCTAGAAACGCGAGTTGTGGGAGTTGTCCCCCCATAATCCCGTTTCTCCTCACAGACCAGGCTGGGAGGACAAAAAACAACAACAACCAAAACCAAAAACCGGATCTTACGGAACTATAATAAAACAAGAGGGGGAGGTTGGACAGCCGTTCTTGCCCTCCCCTTCTATGATTTGGCAGGCCGGACGGCGGAAGTGAAAGGACGGCGGAAAGGCCCGACACGTCGCCAGGTCCCGCCTTTTCCGCTCTGCGCGGCCGCCATTTTGTTTGTGTGGGAGAGGGAGAAGGAGGAAGCCGTCGCCGCCGTCGCCGGGAGGAGCCGCAGCGTCGTCCCCGCCGCCGTCGGAAGCGTCGCCGCGGGCCCTTCGCCGGCCCCCACCCCTCCCCAGCCCCTATTTTCTCTCTGTCTTGCCGGGGGGAGCGCCCCGCCAGCCAGCCATGCCCTCGTCGCCGCTCCGGGTGGCTGTGGTTTGCTCCAGTAACCAAAACCGCAGCATGGAGGCCCACAATATCCTCAGGTAACGCCACGAGGCCCCGCTCGCCTGCCACCCTCCGACCACCACACGGCCCTCCTTCCCTCAGGGCAAAGGGATCCGGGTTTGAAGCGGGGGGGGGGAGATTCGGGCAGGGAGAGGCCCTGATCGTCGTCACCGGTTCCTCCACAAAACATGACGCCATTTAAACCGTGGACGAGGGATTCCTCTCCCTTCGGGCGGCAGGAAGAGGACTTTCTCTACTGGGTTTATAGATATAAAAAAACGCAGCCAGCAATGGGGGTGTTGAGCCCTTCCCCCGGCCTGGTAGCCTGCGTGGTTTTGATTATTCATTAGAATTATGCATTTATTAGAATTATGTATTTATTAGAATTCTTAATTATATTTATTAAAGCAATAGGAGCAGAATTCCAGTAAATTATATTTAGTAATTATATTTATTAAAGCAATAGGAGTAAAGTTCTAATAAACTACGTTTATTAAAGCAATAGTAGAGTTCTAATAAATTATATTTATTAAAGCAATAGGAGTAGAGTTCTAATAAATTATATTTATTAAAGCAATAGGAGTAAAATTCTAATAAATTATATTTATTAAAGCAATAGGAGAAGAATTCTAATAAATTATATTTATTAAAGCAATAGGAGTAAAATTCTAATAAATTATATTTATTAAAGCAATAGGAGTAAAGTTCTAATAAATTATTTATTAAAGCAATAGGAGAAGAGTTCTAATAAATTATATTTATTAAAGCAATAGGAGAAGAGTTCTAATAAATTATATTTATTAAAGCAATAGGAGAAGAATTCTAATAAATTATATTTATTAAAGCAATAGGAGTAAAATTCTAATAAATTATATTTATTAAAGCAATAGGAGTAGAGTTCTAATAAATTATATTTATTAAAGCAATAGGAGTAGAGTTCTAATAAATTATATTTATTAAAGCAATAGGAGTAGAGTTCTAATAAATTATTAGAATTCTACTCCTCTTGCTTTAGGAGCTAATGGTGGCCTACATAGATGACCCCTCCTCCTATTTGCCCCACAACAACCCTGTCAGGTAGCCAGGCTAGAAGAGAATCCTTGCCTTGAAGTCATTCTTTAGGTATGTATTGAGGCTGCCTCTGGATAGATTAAGATTCTTTCTTTTTTTTAATGCACTCACTCCACAACTTTTTTGCCCCTTGGTACATCTTAGATGCTTTTGATTAAAATCTCCGTTCTCTCCATTTCCTGTTTGGCCTTTGGATTAGGGAAATGCCCTAACTCCAACACCAAACAGGAAGTGGGGATAACATCAAGGCAAGCTCAACTCCTGGGGCCTGTTAGGTCCTGCTTATACTGCTTTATGGCAACCGTACAGAGACAGCTTGCTGTTATTTCTTTCTGTGGTGTGTTTAATTCCCCAAGTTAAGACTTTGAATTAATAATCCGTTCGGGGGGGGGGCTGACCCCACTTGGCTATTTGCGAAGTTAGTTTAAATGCTGCTGCCTGGATTGGACAAAAGGTAAGACTCCCTGGATTTGAATTTAAGTTGTGGTGGTTACACAGGCACATCATCCATGTGTAGAAATTACTGCCCCCCCTCCCAAGATGTTTTTGATTTCCTGCCTTACATTTCCTGGTGGCCTCCGCTCCAAATAATAACCTGATCTGACTGTGCTTTGGTTTCTGGGATCACCCACAAATGTCTAGGGGTTACCACAACTTCTTTTACCCCTGTCATTCCTGAATTCCACACTTCTAGATCTGTTGCTACATGTTGCCAGGTTTCTTTCAGTCTTCCACCCCCACCCCAGCTCCACCATGTCAATACTGACTTAAAGGAAAAGGCACACTGTTGTAATTTTAATACCACTTCCTTCATAGAATTTGTAGTTTTTTTCTTCTTTAGATTCATATCTAGGTCAGCGTGTTCTCTGTTCTCAGCCTGCCTTCTGACACAGTTGCTCAATAACGTTTCACAGATTTTGTTTGCTTTAGTGTTATTCAGAGCTTCCTGTGCACCCTTCCCTTTACAGGACAGCTTCAAATATACGCTAACCACAATTTAAACTGAGTCACTGAGAAGTAAGAGGTGGGGGTGGCAAGCACTTCAGACTCTGAAATTCCAAAGCATTCAATTTTATTTTTTTTTGGGGGGGGGAATGCTCAAGGGTGGCATTTCCCTAACTCAGCAAAGACTGCAGAGTCCTGGATGCTGGTTATTTGCTTGGATATTTGGATGTTACCTACCCGACTACATAACATCATGAAATATTTGCAAGCAAACAGCCAAGCTCAGCACCACGGGCTCCACAGTTCAACCCCAAGTTACAAATATTCTCTTCTGTTGACATCAGCAAGGATTGGGCAGGTGAATGCAATGTTGGCTTTAGTTGGAAGAGGAAAAAGGAAGGGTGGGAGAAATGGAATGGAGTACAAATATTCCCCAATTTACAACAGTCTGTTTAGTGACGGTTCGAATTTACAAGGGCACTGGAAAAAAGCGACTCGTGACCATTTTTCACACTTACGACCGTTGAAGCATCCCCATGGTCCTGTGATCAAAATTCAGGCGCTTGGCAACTGGCTTGTACTTATGACAGTTGCCCTGTCCCGGGATCAAGCGCTCACCTTTTTCAACCTTCTGACAAGCAAAGTCAATGGGGAAGCCACATTCACTTAACAACTGTGTCACTCACTTAACAACTGCAGTGATTCAGTTAACGACTGTGTGGCAAGAAAGGCTCTAAAATGGGGCAAGACTCGCCTAACAAATATCTCACTTAGCAACGGAGGTTTTGAATTCAATTATGGTCATAAGTCGTGAACTGCCAATAGTTCTTACTAACTTACTAGAAAGCTAAACACAATTGCTTTAGCAAAGGCAATCACTTGTTTTCCAAACTTCTCATGGTATCCTTCTAAGTTAGGACAGTGGGAAGAAGACCAACAGGTGATAATTTTCAGACCACTCAGCTTTTCCTGTTTTAGGAGAGGTAGTATTGTGCCTGAGCTTCCCAAAGCCGGATTTTATACCGAACAGATTGTTTTGCAGTTTCATGAGCTCAGGGCGTAAAGCTTGGCGTCTCTCGTACATGAATCACGAAAACAAACAACCATGTGAATTGATCGACGTTACATAATTTGGCAACTGGTTCGTTGAGTATTTGGGTGCCAGCCTAGGAGAGCCCTTGAACCCAGGATCTAACCTGATTCTTGCTCTTTTGTTTAATCTTCCTTTTTCTCCTCTGCAAGTGCAGCATTACAGTCAGCAAAATCGGCTCCCAAATGGCGCGTTCTACCAGAACTTCTGGGTATACGCATAAGTAAAGGCGCCCGGGGGCCGATTTCTCACTGCAAATTTACAGTGAGGCTGCCGGTAAAATAGCTGTAGGTGGTATGAGGTGCAATTATATTTTTGAAGAAATGCCAGCAGAAACAAATCACGTGGAATGTACGTGTGCCGGACTTCCTAGCCAGCACTAATAAGGGAGGTGGCAGGGAGTAAGTAGCTCCCAGCAGGGAGTGGCTGAGGTTTTTGTTTCTGGAAATCATCGGAGGCATGTTCCTTTGCTATTACTCCCATTTGGGATTCTTTTTTATATTTGCTTCATTAAGTTGCTTTGATACGTGATCATAACTGAGTGGCACGCAGTGGATTGTAGGTTAGGAAACCTACGATTCAGACACCAAGTCTACCTGCTCTGTGACTTTGAAGACCTGTTGTATGGGAAAACCTGGTGTGTATTTTTGAAAGTACATACAAAGTAATGGGTTTGCCGCTTATTACGGAAAGATACAATGAAAGAACAGACATCAGCATTAGCCCCTTTCAAACATTTCCCTTTCCAGATGTGTTGGACTACAGCAGGGGTGTCAAACTGCCGGCCCACAGGCCGGATGCGTCATCATTTTAGTCTCCCACAAGTCCTTTTGGAATGACAGACCAAGAGGAATTAGAGACAGAAGATAAAAGAGATTTCCCTCAGATGCTTGTATCAAAGTCCAAGGGGTGGAATTAGGTTCCTGGTGTTTATTCTCTATAAGAAGCCACTATCCCAGGGGTGGGGAACCTTGACTCTTTTATGACTTGTGGACTTCAACTCCCAGAATTCCCGAGGCAGCCACGCACTATCCTATCTCGAGAAAAATGATTTATTTGATTCATCCCTTGTTTCATCCTGGAATATTTCCTCTCTGGATTGCTCCTTCCTTAGCTGCAGGGCTGATGATTGGTTGCCTTTAGTGGTTCCCACCATTCAGTGCAGTCATTAACTCTGTTTCTGGGTGGGGCCTTAAATTGAAACTGGTGCCAGTGGCTGTTTGGCTCAAGAAAAGGCAGATTGTCCCTGCCTGCTTGTTAATCATTATTAGCTGACAACTGTTTGCCCAGCGATATTTGCCTAGCGAATTCCCTTGCCAGGAAGTTGGGCTTCTTGGCATTAGTCACAAGCAGCTGAATCCAGTTTTTGTGCCTAGAGAGTCTCCGTCCGTCCTTGCAAAGGTTTAACAATATTGCTGACACAGACCTCAGTTCAACAGCTCACACAAAAAAACCTCCATCTGCCTCATTTCTGGCCTAGTGGACAAAACGGAAGATAAATTAGTCCTCGGCTTAACGACCACGGTTAAGCCCAAAATTCCTAAGTGAGACCTTTGTTACGTGAGTCTTACTCCATTTTACGATCTTTCCACAGTTGTTAAGTGTCACACGGTTGCTAAGTGAACTTGGCTTCCCGGTTGACTTTGCTTGTCGGAAGGTCGCAGAAGTGGAATCAAAGGACTGCAACGGTCATAAATGCGAGTCGGTGTCCAGGCGCCTGAATTTTGATCACATGACCGTGGAGATGCTGCAATGGTCACCAGTGTGGAAAGTGGTCATAAGTCACTTTTTTTTTTTAGTGCGTTGCAACTGTATTTCAGTCACCCCAATGGAGGCTCCTTTTTATTACAAACTGAGGGGAAAATCTCTTGATTAAACCAGGCTTTGAAACTCAAAATATAAGCAAATGTATACATAGTTATATTGGAAAAC